CCTCCATAGCTCCAAAACACACACAAATATCCATAAGTCGAGAATAAGCTTGTCAAAAGTATCTAAAAGGTGATACAAAACTGTTACAAAGGTTGAAAAAACTTATGTCCTCCACGCTCTTATCGATCGCTATCCCATAATGATATCTACAAACTTTTTCTGTCAACAGAGGGCGCTATAACTGTTTCATGCGGTGAATTTGGCACTAACACCGGGCACAGTATCCGTATCACACAATATGGACCTAGCTATGTACCTAGGTGAGGCGGCGCATTTGGAGTTACTTCCGACACGTTATCTTGAAAACTGAAAACTTTGTCTTTGTAAAATAAAATTGGGGTAAAGTTATATGTAAAAATAGATGTGTTTTTTCCGGACTCGGGCCGAGTCCTCAAGATAGTCGGGTCCTCATTGTTCGAGTCAGAGTCTGAGTCCCCACTACAGTCCTTCTGGTTTGAAAATCACAGGGGTGTGGAAAAAGGCACACCTGGATTTTGTTTAGGCGTGTGATTTTTCTAGGCGTGTGATTTTCTAGGCGAGTGATTTTTCTAGGTGTGTGATTCTATGGTCCAAGCTGGGATATTATTTCATAATATTCATCTTGGTTTACAATTAAGCCATTTTCTCTTCACTGACGTACTTTATTTTTCACAAATTATGAAGTATAATTAAGCTATAAATGTATGCCAAGGTGTGCAGTACTGAGGGATTCAGGCGTGCGATTATTCGCACTTCTCGGGAAGCTTTTAGGTGTGTGATGGCGTGGGGGTGTGATCGCATGCCTCAAAACAGAAGGACTGCACTATCCAAGTCTGAGTCCGAGTCCTTGAAAATCGGGACGCCAGTCCGGACGTGAGTCCTCCAGCACTGCTCCAGGTCTACCTACATATTGAGTTTCAATCCAACCCAATTTACAGTTCTCTAGATATAGGACTTTAAAATATGCACTTTTAAGATGAGTCACGTGACCCATGATGACGTCATCATGACGTCACTCTTAGGGACACAAGTTTGTTGTAGGGACTTGCATTGTAGGTCAAGAAATTTCTTTTATTTTGCAATTTTTTTTTCATGCTGAATAAGTTAACATGCGTATTTTGGGCACAAATTATTGCTTTTTCGCTTAAAAGCAGAAAAGCATTGCTTTTGTTCTGATTTTTTTTTTCTTTTTTTCTTATTTTGTTGCTTTTCCACAAAGTTGCGGAAAAGCTTTTTTTTGTTTTGATTTTTTTCTTTCTTCTTCGTGTTCCACACACAAAATCCCATAGACTTTGTGCACGATTTTTCTGTCCGGCACTTTTGCCATTTATCTTTGTCACCCATCATTCAAAGTTACCTCAGGCATAGTTCACCGCCCCCTTTTTTTTAAATGGCATGTAGGCAAAATAAGAAGAACTCTGACTGACAACTACACCGCAAAGTGTCAAAACATTTTTTTTAACTTAAGAATATAAGGTTAAAACAGGAACACAAATATGAAGCATTAAAAAAAAAATTGCTGTTAGTTTTGGCTAACCTATACTACCAGTAATAACGTGTAACAACAATTTACTTAGGCTTGTTATGGTAAATATTATATATCAGTTTTGAGAAATACTGATTTTGGAATGAAAATGGGCAATTCCCCGGTTTCGATGGACATGGCTAAGAAAAAAAAAGTTTTCTTTTTTAACAGAGTTTCACATTTTTATTACAGATTATACATTCAAGTATGAGAAATTAACAAAGAAAACTCAATTTTATCAAAAAAAAATTGAGAAATCGTGTCGTAAAGTGAAAAATATTTTTGTACTACAAAGAACTAACAAAAGTTTAAACCTTGATCATGCAATAAGAGATATTTTGATCATAACCTTATGTCTAGCATGTATGATAGTCTTAATCTCTGAAACATATGTCAATTCACAGCCGTCATCCCTTTTTAGATGTCAAAAGTAGCATTCCATACCTGTTTTTGTCAATGTAACGTGAGTAACCGAAAAGTTATACAAGTTTTTTTCTCACCAACATTTCTAATGAATTAACTTTTGGTATTCAGGATTATCATTCTTTGCATGACCATAGATATAAATATAAGTGTTTTGTTGACACTAATACACACATTTTAAGAATAAAAGGCAACTAAATTTGGTAACGTGAGTAACTTTTGTAACGTGAGTAACCAAGTTTTTTTATCCCAAGTCACCCAAACTATACCCAAACTGACTTTTGCTTGATAACGTTGATTTGATTGATAACTGTTTATCTTAAACCAAAGAACCTCAAGCATTAAAGATACTTTTTAGCATATTTTATCCTGTTTATGGTGCAAAATGGTCTTTGAGACAGCATATTTTTTTTTAAATTGAATCCAAGTAAAGTATTTGATCAAGTTTTCATGTTGTTGAATGGAATAAGGAAGACATCTGTACGTCCCTAGTCCCTACATTGAAATTAAAATGTTTATTTGGAACAAAAGTTAAATAACATTACAATTTACATGTAGGCACTTCACACTAAGCTATCCGGTACAGTGGTATACCCTGGAACCCACTCTTCACATCATGATTTCTGATAGTGTGGCCTTCCCATGGACCCTATATTCTGTGCTATCGTGGCATACATTAAATTTTAGCGGACTCTCAGAACATGAGAGGTTTGTTCTGATGGCTCAGCATTAGTTTAAAAAACCTAAATTACTGCTGGACTTAAGAGGAAACAACAAATTCCTGATAGGGGATCAGTATGCACTGTAATAGTATCAGAATAATGTCAGATGAAAACCTCTATCTGGGAGTACTTGCCATTGAAAATCCAAAATGCAAATTGAAGTCAGACTTTTTAGTAGTTCTGATGCCTATTGGGTAGAAACATACTAACTATGATAACTTAGTCAAAAAAACATCATGCCATAAGATTATCAGATGGGTTGGACAAAATGTAACGTGAGTAACCGTAACATGAGTAACCATGTTTTTTTGTAGATTGCCAAAAAATGGAAGATTCAGGAGAATTTGTTTTACTCTTATTAGGCCAAAAAAAATAATACTTCAGCTTCCGGTTACCCGACCGACCCTATTTTTAAGCTGCGACCCTAAAAATTTTATCGGCAATTCCAAAAACAAAACAAAAAGATTAAATAAATAAAAATAAAAGCTTATTGTCTTTTCTGTCTTCACAACATACCTCTCAACAACCTATTTGCGTCAAAAAATGCTTGTATTTATTTGTTTTCTTACTTACACTCGCTATTTTTTTTCAAAAGAAATCAAATTTGCTTCGCGATCTGTCATCATACCTCGCAATTCGATGTCACGGTGACTATAATCACGTGCGTAAACCTTGCTCAATGCAGTGATGACTGGTTCCCGCTGCGCCGCGCAGGGGCCAGTTTAGAAGACATGATGAAAATGCGGTAACCAGTCTGTCATGGCTGGGCGATCGCTAGCGCTAGCATGGCTATATATGCATTAGGCACGTGCACTGTCAGTGTCAACTGGTCGGATTCGACATCGTAAAAATGCCAAGAAAACACCTTTTTGCAAGTTAATTCACAGAATTGATCTATCTTGTCTGTGTATGTATTTTCCGTGTTCAAGAGTTCATTTTGAGATCGCACTACTCGTATTTGGAGTGATACATGCAGCATGTTTCCCAACATTTTCGACCGTAAAACGAGGTTGTCGGCCGCGGGCCACACATGCACAGTGCATCACACACACTTTGGAGTTTTGGCCAGCTTCCCGTCTTGACTAGCGTTGTGCATATGATGCGAACGACCTGAATTTTCCATTATTTTTAAAGAATTATCGAACGTAAATATATTGACAATAATTAAGGTAGCTTTTTTTTTCACTTTTCGTGGCCATTTTGTGTATAGCTTTCGTAGTGCAATGGAAATAGTTCAGGCTAAAACTTCGCATATAATTGAATACCCCATTCAATCTGCATGAAAAAAATTGGCCAAAAAAAAATAATTTCCGACCGACCGTATTTTTGAAAGGCATGTAATCGGAAGCAGAACCATTTTTGTTTCGGCCTTATTTGTGCCCCATGGCATGGTCTTTTATCCGTTTAAAAGAAATTTCCACAGGTTGCGTTTATGAGGACACTTTTTGATCAAAGCATGTTGGCTATTTATGCATATCCGAAAATGTAACGTGTGTAACCACGTTTGTGCGTCTTGTTTATCATACATAACACATTTTTCTGGATGTCAACTTTGGTACTTAGGTAGGTCTAGGTCTACTCTATCTACCATGGGGATAACAGTTATTAAACCTTTTCAGTAAGGTAATTACAGCCCAAGGAAACTCAAAAGTACATCAAAATGTAACGTGAGTAAACTGTGGAATTGCCCAAATACAGATTTTTGGCTTCAGGAATAGAGATTTTGGTATTTGAAGGTTGGCAGCTCTGATGTATAAACCATTCCCACTAAAACTGGACATATGTGCTGAATATTGCAAGTTGATTTCTAAAATATTGTGCTGCTATATTTCGTTAATCTTACCGATAAGAGCCACTACTAATGCATGTTTCCATGCAGAATGTAATACATTTGGTAAATAATGAACAATACATGTAGGTCTCTCTCAAATGACGTCACTTCCAAACAATACGTTGGTTTCTTCAGCTTTTAACCGTTTCATTCTACTAAGAAAATGGTGTCCAGCCTCCTCACCATTTAGCATTGTTGGTCTCTCAGCATTCTTCTTTTCATTCTTGTACATGTATATACTTGTCAAGGACATCTACATTGGTAATCATGACATGCACTCATAGCCAAGAGCGTCGCTAGACCACTTTGAATCGGGAGGTGTTGCAACAAATTTGCTGAGAGACCAGCAACGCTAAATGGTAGGGAGGCTGGACACCATTTTTCTTAGTAAAATGAAACAGTTAAAAGCTGAAGAAATCAACTGGAAAAAAAACACTTCGTTCATCTGAAAAATTGAAAAGGTTTTGTAGACCTGAACTGCTAAAGTTAAGTACTTAGTTTTCTTTTATTTGGCCTACAGGGTAGTCCAAGTCCTATACAGGTGAAAATAGGAGATACCTGGCAACAACATTTAGAGGAAAAGAAACGCCAAAAGAAGCAAGAACCAAGAAGAAAAAATAAGTCAGACAGTGAAAACAAGGAGGGATTAGTTCCAGTCATAAGCCATAATGCATCTCCAGACCACTCTGCAAATGTGTTGAGTAATTATATTGTACTGGCTGGCTCAGAACAAATACCAGTGAGCTGTTCACCAACCAAGAATGAGCAAGATGAACATCTACAAAAAGCAATGCAACAGTTCACTATTCATTCACAATCTGCCCCATCCAAGGATTGTGACTTGTCATCTGCCAATATGTCCTCCAAGAATGCAGCTTTTGTTCAAAGTTACCCACCGTCTTGTGAGAAACCAGACTGCTCTCAGCAACATTTACACCATTGGCAAGATCATACACAGCACGAGGCTCAACAAATACTACCCAAAGAAGAACAGCTGCAAAGAATCAACCATGTAAGCATATCAATCTTTCTTTGAGAATTAAGTTTTGTTCTATGTGACCTGCCATGTCACAAGGAATAACCCCCACCTTTGACTTTTTAAGTATATATACACCATGTTTAACAGCAACTCATTGGCTTTCCAATGATACCAAGATTATTTTCAATTTCTTCGTCTCGGTCCATTAACAGCGGTCACCCCCACACCCGGTCATTATCACGCAGTGAAGTCCGGCTCCTCACACTTTTATTCCCTTATTAATATGCTGTGGGAAAAATCCTCATAAAATAATATCTAAATAACCTACATTAACTACAGTTGTAAGTCAAAACATTCGAATGATACAATTATGAAAGTTTCGACCAGTGTTCAGAAGCCTTATACATGTATATTGACTTTTACAAAATAATCAGACTGCGTAACACATACCCAAAACCCAATAATTGGTATATACAAGCAGATACTAAGTATATACATAGCCTTACCAAATCAAAGATATCTCTGGTTTGCATCGTTGGATTTTCTTGGGTTTTTTTCACCAATTATAAACAAGACCATAGGCTTGAAAATGCCATAGAATTTGATTAGCTAGTCTGACCAACTTTTGAGAATTTCTTCATGCACAATGTTTATTGGGACACGCTGTAGAGCAATCTACTTATGCATATTTCCCATACCGGCAGGTATTTACACTGAGAGTTTGCTCAATAGCGCCCTCTGGTGTCCTACCCATAATGCCCCGCACTCTTTTTCTTTTCTCTTAGCGGCAAGTCGGGAAGAATGTGCTTATAAAACGCTTGTATTATTCATCGTTTTTCTGCTCCCCTTTATTGCTTAAAGGAAATATACAACATTTGCAAACATCGAAAAATAAAACTACCAAGTTTTTACGAAATACCTTACTAGGATGTTGGTAAATGACAGTCTCAAGCCTCTTGTAAAATTATGGCACCTGGTGTGAAGTCATTTTCAAGAAAATGGTGTTTTTGTAAACATTTCCAACGGTGGTCGGCCGACCAGCGTTGGAAAACCTAACTATTTTTCAACTACTGCTCCAAATTTACCATTTTTTCAGTCCAAATTTTGTTTGCTATTGGTTACATGTTCATGAACGGGTGCAGGCCAGCTAGACTGGTTCCCTTGCCTTACAATTTTCCATCATCTATAAATTGATCCATTTTATCTTTTGTGGAGTCAGGGAACCAGACTACTTGAACATTTTTTTTTGTTTTTTTGTTTTTCCAACCTTTTAGAACACAGAAGTTCAAAAATGTCAGTGTAACAATATTTGATCTATTATACTAACCTCTTAAATAGTTCATTTCTGAAAATTACAGCAAAAGCCAATGATGTATATTCCCTTTAAAGAGAACATTTGATTAAAAGAGTTATTAGTAGAGTTATAGATTCGTCTTATTGCAAGATTATTTCTCAGAAAGTAAGGTCTAAGTGTCCAGAGAAAAAGAAACGGTCTACATTTAAACACGCCTCCCTGCAAAAATGTCTGGATCCACCCCTGCTAGCCCCCCTAAAATATAGGCTCTAGAACCAGGCCTGCGCTCACCCAACTCATGGGGCTTGAGGCACTGTCTGCCGGGTATGACATGATCCCTACAGAACCTCTACTGTTCAGTGGTGGTTTTGAATATTGTGTCCCCCAGCACAGCTCGGCGGGCACTGTTGGTGGCCCGTCTGGAGTGGCGAGCCATGCACCATAACCCTCATTCATTGTCAAGGTTGGGTGGCTCAAGAACAAAGGGACATACCGCACATGATTAGCCGTGTTCTGGTATGCACTGAGCTTGTACCAAGCTATGTCTATTGCCTCGGAGGGAGTTGCTCAGCCACTGACCCATGGCCCTGTGCAGCTTGACCCTCCAGGCATGCCAGACCGGCTCTCGCTCGCCAGAGTCAACTTGGCCCTCGCATTCTGGTCGTTCATCTGATGATATTGACGGGTTGAACCAGATGCAGCGACTGTCCATTGCAGAAACAGAACTTTTTTGGTGCTTACAACAACAGGGTGTTCCTGAGGCCTCCTTTAGATCAGGCAGGTATGGATCGCATTTGCAAGACTATATCTACTGACAAATGCCAACTATTCTCCTAGCGAGAACGTGATTATTATCGTTTCCCTTGGTTGATTTTGTTTTTTCGACGTGCCTTCCTTTACTCTCCGATGCAGCTAAGACAAGCTGGTGGCCCTTCGCAAATAAGACTCGCGGCAAGCTTCACTCGCGTCACTTTCTGGCGGGGGCCACCCTCCATCCACTCCCAGTAGTAGGTCAGCGGGGCCCGGAGCACTGCTCAAGTCTCATGAACGTACTCCAATGTGTTTCCCCATGGTATGTCACGTTTTTGGCAGTCCACCCTCCGGGCAAGGACAATGTCGACAGAGTGGACACTGCTGAATGATCGACCACATATCGATCTGTCTGCTTCACGGATCAATTACTGGTCTGCTGCACGAGGGTCCCATTCCCTGCGCGTGGCAGGCAGATACAATGTCAATATGATGGGAATGTCAATATGCTGGGTGCTGTCGCGCAATCCCTCTGCACGAAAGGCCTTTCTCAATGGGCTGCAGCTATTGCAGCCTGCAGTTGGAGTGTATCGACCAATTTTTACGTATGGTAATAAACCTACTTCCCCCAGTACTCCTGTAGAGGAGGTTGTAGTTGGCTGTTTCGGCAACCGGCCGAAACAGCCTTTGTTTTCGTTAAAGTTTTTATTTTTTAATTTTTTAGCTGTTCCCAATTTCAATTAGGAACAGCTTTTGTTTTCGTTACAGTTTTTTTTTTTTCATTTTTTTGTGGCTTTTTCGCAACTTTTGCGAAAAATATTTTTTTTCTTTCTTCCTCTTCTTCTTCCACTTCTTTTTTGCACAAAACTCCATAGACTTTGTACACGTTTTTTCTACACGCCACTTTTGGCCTTAAAACAATTCCGATTTCCTTCAAACCTGGCACATACTTAAAACATCATCTGCAGATGTATGCCGAATCATTACGTCATGCTGACGTCATCACGCGATTTATTTATTTGAATATTTAATTTTTCCCATAGACTTTGTACACAGATATTGACAAAAAATTGTCGATTTTCAAAGGGCATTTTCGACTCGTTGCCAGTAATTCATTTACACAACTCTTTGTCCATGCAAAGACCCTAATTCAAACAACATTGTGTAATGATGACATCATGATGACGTCATCCGGTGTTTATTTATAGGCAATTAAATTGTGACACTTTTAATATTTAAAAATGCATAAGAAATCAACCGTACGCGTCCGCAGCATTCTGTTGCCGGCAAGTGGTAGAGTAGGTTGAGGTCTTTATTTCATTCAGTGTGCGTGCAATCACGTGACCCTTTCTTCCGGTCGAAAAAGGCCAAAACCGGAAGTGGCTTATTATTTTAAAATGGTAATAGATATGAACTTGCTTTTAACGGTGTTAGTCGCTTGGCTGATAGTATTCAAATCATCTACCGATATTCAAATCATCTACCGATGACGTCATGCAATCTTCGAGCGCCCTCTTGCGACCGGTTGAACATTTTCAAAAATGTATTTTGAATAGATGTCTGTGGCGAAGTTTGTCGGAATCGCCTAAATATTGGTGTATATGATGACCTTGACCCACTTAAGACGTGTGCGAAGTTTTAGGTGTATGACGTCATCAGACCGGAAGCTCCGTTGAAAAGACCTTTCCTTTTTCAAAAATTGCTAACAAATCAATCCGTACAGATATAATCTTGAATTGCCCATTAAATGATAGCGTAAACATTTGCCTCAACAGTGCCAAGTTCCCAGCTTGTCAAATTGTTCACACAGTTGACGCGGCGTTGGCAAAAAATACCCTTGCGCAAGTTGCGGCAGAGAGAGTGAAAAATTCCGACTCATCCAAAGCAAGCATAAACCGCAAGTGTGTGCGTGTATACATGTACATGTACATTGACCAGATTCGGCATCGCATGCTTCCCATACACCACACACGCACGTGGTCGTGAGGGCGCGGACCGATCAAGCGCCACATTGTCAACTCATGAATATTAATTTCCCTTGTTGAACAACTCACCAATAAGATAGAGGTGCTGCAAAGACGTTTCCATTCTTTCATTGGCAGTTTTTAGTACCCCAAATAGTGGCAGTACGTATATGTTCATACAATAACAAGCACTTCGCGTTCTTCATGGGGCCGGCCCTATGCTCGCTACACTCACGTGGTTCCAGAATCTTCTCCAAGCAGCAGACGAAAGTGAAAAAGCCCTGTGTTCTGTTTCGACAGACATACAGTTCTAGTTTCTTGTTCTTTTTCCTTTTCCACTTTTCCCCATAGGTTTTGTACACGTTTTTATTCTACAAGCCACTTTGGGAATTATTTTAAATACGATCAACTTTAAACTCAGCATAGTCATTAACCATCATCTGAAGATGTATGCCTAAACTTTTCGTCATCGTGAGGGGTCACGTGACATCTATTTATAAATTCAATTTTTACAGCCTTATAACTATAGAACTATTTGACCGATTGATCTCAAATTTGGTAGGTATACAGACAGGGAAGTGTTATAGATGAAAATTGATATGTCAAGGTCACGTGACCTTCACTTCCGGTTTTACCAGAAGTGGTAATTTTAGACCCCTATATCATTTCTCATGAATTATTAATCTGATTGGGTTGAAACTTCACATTAATACAAAGCTATATTGACAGACAATTATATTGCATTATGATTACTGTGCACTTAATTATTGTCATGTTATGACGTCATGAATATTGAATGAGGCAATCTTTACAGTCTTATAACTATAGTATACAAATATTGAGTGGCTCAGCGTGGAATGGGAGGAATATTATCGCAAGGTAAAATCTGGACTTTTCCATTTCACGAGGCGAAGCCGAGTGAAATGGAAAAGTCCAGATATTACCGAGCAATAATATTCCTCCCATTTCACAATTTAAAGCCACTCAATATTTGTTTTATATAACTGACATATAGATCATTGTCA